TTGAACTTTTGTACAATATTACGAGCTATTTTAATATTATTGTGGGATGAATTTATTGCAGCAGCATCTGCATAGAGTGCAACAGAATTAAAAGGGAAAAATTCACCAAAACATCCGAATTATATGCAAAGGAAAAGTATTGAAAGGATCTACATCACCGTGTTACCTAGAGTAACACTACAGACGACCGGAAGGAGCTTTACATAGCATATCACCAAGAGAATTGCAGCCGCATTTCCAAGCGTAAACGAAAAAAAACATCTCAGAGAAATGTCTTTAAGAACAGCCATGGAAACTATTTTAAGCCAAAGTCATCCCCGTAGTCACATACGGGATCACACTGATACGGCCATTCCTCACAAAAAAGCAAATCCACGACTTGGAGAGGATAAAAGCTACCAATCTTAAACTTCAGAATTTTCAATATTTACTCCCTTGTATTTTTTTTCGAACCACTCACACATCCTAAATATTTACATTATAGATATTTTACAGGAAGGTTTGTAAAAGAATGCCTGTGGAAACATTAGCTTCAAATTGTCTCCTAAGACGTTTCTTCTAATTTAAATATTTTTGAGTATGTGCAAATACAAAATTGCGCATGTCCAAAAACACTTAAATCAAATTGCTAAAAAAAGACAATATTTTCCGCAAATTTCGTTCGAGGGTTTAATTTTCAGTTTTACTCCATTCTCACTTCAATGAAACTATTAGGGACAGAAAAAATCAATGTAATTTTTCATTAAGTACTGTATTTACAATATCAATAACCCACAAACGAATATATTGTCATATTAATACAAGTTAATTTATAATGCGGCATTCAAATATTTTTTATTGAAAAGGGTGTAAATATTACATTAAAAAATGTTTCTGTACAATTTTCGAGTTTTGAGAAAAATAAAATTGCGTGCGGACGACATTATATCTAGTTCGTAGTTGAATAAACTTTCAACATAGTTATGGAATGCGATCGAATTCTTTTGAATGTCAGGTGTATGCGTAGGTTCAGCGTTGCTAAGAACACTACTGATAATACAACTATATACTGCAAAAAAGGCAATATCCCTTGCAGTGAGGGTCTGAATGATAATAGTGTATTTGTAACTGGGCAAGTGTTCCAAACAATGAGATGAGAGTGTTGTAAAATATAGCTTAAATATTAGAGGTATTTAATATAATGTCATGCTTACAATCTAACGTCACCATTATAAATAAAATGAAGTCTGTGTTATGTAGCAGCACCGCTAGATTACTTCAGAATATGCCCTATGAAAGAGTGGTCAGAGTATTGTCTCTTTTCTGTCAGTTGAGATTGCCAAATTTTGATGGGTGCTCACTAGTTATTTTTAACACATTTTTTGTCAACACAATATCCCGGGCTCTGATCGAGAGACGATAGGCCAGAAAACACCTCTTGCAGAGTAACTCGGAAAATAATTAAAGAGAATCAGAGTGGAGGAAGGCGATGATCCGAGCCCGCGCCCTGCGAGACAGCGAGAGGAACGCACGAGAAATTCAATAACAGTTCTCCGGAGTTGAGAGTCGCTTAATGAAAGAAAATTGGAGTTGGTCTGACGGCGAAATTTGTTTGCTCGTCTGCGCCCCGTTGCAGCCTCTATCTCTCTCTCCTTCTCTCGCGCGCGGGCTCACTAGATTCGCCATTAATCCGCCACTCGCTATCATCCATCACATCCCATCGCCTCGGGGTCTCACCCCCGGCCTTAACCTTTGGTTTACAACGCACTGGTCAAAATTGAGTCCGAGGGCGCGAAAAACGCGCATGCGTATCAGGGCATTTATTTGTAGAAAATGAGAATCTATTGTTTATTGAAATGATGAAAAGGAAGTATTTCGAAAAACAAATTAATTTTTGTTTCCCAGAATGTTAAAATATACTAATTTTACTAAAAAAATAAGTTTGGTCAAAAAGACTCGACGTTGTAGTACATTTCCAGGCGTTTCAAGTTGTAGACGAAAGTCTATCATTGCTCGCGGCCAAAACTTTAGGCTCAATCGCAGTCTGTAACGCCAACGACGAGAAAACTTGGAAATCAGGTACGACGAGACACTTATGTTTTATTATGAACTACATTTAGGAATCGAAAGAACATATCCAACGAATGGAGCAGTACCTATTGCTAAAAAATTCTAGAGGAAACAGATCTTGGAAAATATTCTAAAAGATGGGAAGAATTCTTTGTGTGAAGTCGGAAGAGCCATTGCCGGCATTAAATAATACCTGTTTTAATTAGCAACTAATTTATTGTTTTTTTATATTATATTATTACATCATTATAATTAATTATTTTTAATTAAATATATTAATTATTATTTATAAACTGCTTGACAATTAATGTTTCTATTAAACCATACTACAAAGAAAAACAGTAATTAAAAGAATTAAATCTCCTGTTACGACAGCTTTATAGCGTGAGAGTAATTTACGAGTCGTATACCGACCTTCCGCTAGCCTTAACATTAGGAAGTTTTAGCGCCATGCGTTATGTAGTGACGTTAGGTACTAACGGTCATGTGACGGACGTTCTAGTCATAACGTCTTACCTTAGATTTAAGGTACGATCTTGTATCCGCATAAATAGTGCGCCTTGGAGGAGACTTTTAAGGTCACCTTACGAACTGCAAAATAACCGCCAAAAAACAGGAAAGGATGCATTTTTCAACTCTGATAAACCAATTCTCATATGTGAGGCAGTTTTTACTAACCCCACAGCGCTGACAATTCGCGAAAAGGAAGAAATAATATCTCCGCATTAGATTTTGTCTTATCCTGATAACGAACGCTGTTTCAGTTCATATATGACTTATACTAATAAAACATACCGGGAAATTACATTACCTTGAGCCGTTTCGCTCTGCATAAAAGTCAACAGGCGTCGTTCTGTTTCGTTTTGAAACACGCATCTGAGTTTTGGTCTTTTCCTATAGATACAAATTCTCTTAAATCAGTTGTATGAATTTTCTTAATAATGGAATCACTCATTTCATTATGAGAAACGCTGCTTCACCCCAGAATTATATTGAAACATGGAATGCGCTAATGATCAATAAAAGAAACTCAGTTTTAACACACAGCATATGTGCGTGTGTGTGAGTGTGTGTGTGTGTGTGTGTGTGTGTGTGTGTGTGTGTGTGTGTGTGAAACTAACACAAGATATATTAGCTATGCAGAGAAAATTATTACTATAAAAAATGGACTGGGAACACATGATTTGGGCCTTCATATAATATTCTTTCTAGACAATTTTCAAACAAAAGACGCAATTTTTTAAAGACATTTACTCCATAACTAATTTGTTAATATGGATTATTTATTTCATGTTTTCGACAAGATTTGTTCCAAATTATTTTTATTTTTTTTTGTTTCTATGTAAGCAACGAAATTTTTGTTTATCTACGCGTTCAAATGTGATATATGATGATATAATGTCCTCCCATTGCATGGTTAAATAAATTTCCAAGTCCTACAATAAACTTTCTGGTATTCCAGTTCCATCGCCTGTGCTGAGAACTGTATCATTCGTAGAATAACAACATTACTAGTTATAGATTGGAAAATTGGGTGTGCAATTTTACCATAAGGAGTTTACGTTTGGGTAGTTCGACCACAGTAGGTAAAATGGCGACATTTCTCATGTGTATCTTTCACTTTAATGGGAAAGACAAGCAGAAGGCTACATACATTCAGAAAACTGTCCAGAACTTTGACCTAGTCTTATGTTGAAACGAAAAAAATGTTCGGTTTCTTTTCATGCGTTTAGCAGCAACGGCCAATCAAACTGTCTCACTTTGGTAGTGGGTTTCGATAACACCCAAACTTAAACATCTCCCTACCAGTGCAACGAGCACTCACTATTCTGGCACCATAATCAAGCCCTGAAAAGAACACAGAACGAACCTATTTTCCAACTAGTATAATCAAACAATCAAAAGAAAAATATCTCTATTCACGAAATTACATGTGTGAGGGTGTATATAGTTTATTTTTAAGAACTTATTGCATCACGGAAACATCCAAAAAATAATGTCATTTTACATCGTAAGTTTCTTATTAAAAGCCTTAGAGACATGAAGGAATTTAAAAAAATCAATACTTACTTTTTTTTAAATATCACGTTGGTAAATCGTGTTTGCGAATAAACTCCATATTGGTAGCACTGCAATGCAGCAATATAATCTTACTTGAAAATAACTAATTAATGAGTGTCAGAGCAGAGTATTTTTGGCAGAAAATTTTCAGACCAGGATTAAAGATTAATGAATGGTAATTTACAATTATAATTCATGCGTATGTGGTGCGTACATATGTGATCCCGTTTACTATATGATATTAACAGAAATTTGATAATCTTACTTCCAAATTTCTCAGGATTCTGAATAAAAACACCGGGAGAGATGGCTGAGAAGCATCAACTGATGTCGCTGCAGTCTCTCTGACTCAGAGGTCCTAGGTTCGAGTCCCGGAGGATTTTCAATACTAACTTGTCAGCTAAGTCGAATCCAGTCGCTGACTGGAGATTAATTATAGCGGCCGGATGCTCTGATCGGTAGTTTTCCGTCGTTTCTCCGATCAACCCAAGACGAATGCCGAAGCAGTACCCTAACAAACGGTCCACGGTCCACGCGCGATCTTTCTTACCTCTTCCTTGTCCTATCCTCACTCCTTACACACGCTTCCACTCACATGCACTAAAGTATCACACATTCCGGGAGTTCGGTCAGGAGCTTAGAGCTTGTCCCGGCTGGGGCGGTGACCAGCTGGTGGGAGCTACCAGGTTAGGGGAAATCCCTCTAGCCGGCGGTAGACAGGTGCCGGACCTTGCCCTCCAGTGGGGGAAGACAACCGATACCTCCCAAGTAAAAAACATACACTACACTTACGGGACTAATGTCCCTAGACGTTAGCGCGGCCGGAATCACTAACAACCAATCAATCAATCTGAATCAAATCACTCTGTGTAACAATATGCATTTTGCAGGTCACCTCCAGTGCTGGATCGACTTCGAGAAGCAGTGGATGTGGCAGTTGTGGGTGACGCTGGTGGCCCTGACGCTGTTCGTGCTGCCCGCCTTCATCATCTCGGCGTGCTACATCGTCATCGTCTCCACCATTTGGACCAAGAGCAAGCAACTCACGCCCGATCCCACGCGCCGCACGTCACGCAGTAAGTACACGTTTAGGAAGTCCACGAAACGAGTGGAGCTAAAACATAGCGTTGTTTCTTTGTTGTTGTTTTTTTCGCCTGTACTTTCACGCAAAATTACGCGGAAATGTTCTCAAAATTTCGAAACATTATACGTGACCTTATTTCAAAATATATCTTTTGGAAACAAGTTTCATTAAGGGGAAAATATCTACAAGATCAATTGAAAAATATCAGTTTTGGATAAAATCGGCTAAACGGTTTAGTCGTTAGCGTTGTTCACAAATAGAAGGTTTGCCATCATTCGATTTTTTGGTATCAAAGACCCACAAAACTGGGTACACCACGTGCTACAGGATTATTTTATAAATTTAGAAAAGGTTTTATCCACTTTTTCGTTACTAGCATCCTGTAATAAGGTTTCCTGTTGACTTTGTTCAAAATTCACGTTTTTTCACGCAGCATTACGAAACTTTTTCTCTACTGTGTAAGCGCTAGCGATAAAGTAAAAGGGAAGATGACGAACAGAGCAGTTGTTTAGTGGAAGGTGTTCCAGAAATTTAGAGTCTTGACTGATTTCTCGCTCGATAGTGAAATAAATACGTTTAATTATTGGGAATAAACCACACGCAGCTAAAAGAAGTGACTGATGGGTAGCGGCGCAATTCTGGCTTCAGATTCAGCGTATCGACAGAGAGAAACATGTCGCACCTCCAATAGAAAAGTGACATAAATGCGAATTTCTGATTTCTCAGAAATTACAATTTTAAGTTTCGTAGCTCTGTAATACTTGTTATAGATTATATCAAATATTCACCTTCTAGCGGACAGTAATTGAACAAATTCAAAATCAACTTCAGAATAGTAGCAGTACCTCTTGGTAACCTCTTATCAGCTTTTAGCTGAAAATGACGATTTCGCACTTGTGTCACTTTTCCATTGGAGGTGCGATGTGTCAAGTTTTTGGGTATGACAACTTTTGACTTCTGTAGTGTAATGTATCATAAACCTTTGAATCAAATAATTAATATTTGTAACTTTTATTTTTTTACCAACACTAAGGCAATCAGATCTATTCATGTTCGTAAACTGGACGTAAAATAAACAGATGACAATTTGGCATGCTGGCCGCCAAGTCTACAATGGCTAACTTACTTGACGAAAATATAAAGTTCATGTTCCTCACAGTACAAATATATATTTTTATTGTTGCTTCGCGAAGACACCCCAATACAGGAAAACGAATAATATTACATTTATTTGGGAGCCTGGCTCTCTCGTATTTTCCCCTATCATTTGGGTTTCCGCTACCCACCGAAAAATAAGACAGACTTTCAACAAGGTTGCCGATTCGCAATATTAACAATTACGTATTAGTCAAACTTTTGCCGAGATGATACTCGGCGAATTCAGTTTCCCTCCATACATCACATCAGCATTCCAGTACACGAAAAACGTAACAACGAAATACCCGTTTAACATAAAAAAACAATGCCTTGACAAAAAATCAAAATAGCATTCACACATGCATACATATTTTATTTACATTTCATTCACACGAGTCAACTCCTTTTAAGTACTGAAATTATTCTAATAACCATTGTATTTTATCAAATCTTGGCTTTGTTAAAATTTTATTTTGATATAATTGTGTCACCTCCCTGGTTGTTGATTCACTGGACCACGAAATGGAGCCGTCCCCGACGGCTGCCAATACCTGCGTCTATATCTACAATCGTCCCAGTTACCGTATTCTCCTTTTGTCCAAATTCCCAATTAAAATACTCCCGAATTAAAAACGCACGTACTAAAAGAATCATTTTTACGAAATCGAAAACTTTCGTAAAATTTTACGTGAATCCACGACTCGACCTCGGCTACGATGCTGCCAGTCCAAAATCACAAACCCGTCTGTCATATGCATTATTGCCTTGCTCATTCCACACTGAGCAGTTTGAAACAAACTACAGCTCTTCTCTTCGTTAAGCTCACTGTATCTTTCCACATTCGAATTTAGAAATGTCTTTATATTTCTCTAATTTCTTCGCTGCAATAATTTCTCTTTAAAAATCAAAATAATAACATTTATTACTTTTCCCTTTACAAATTTCTAATCTTGTTATATTTAAAACGTTTTTGTAATCTCTCATCACATGTAAAACACATTCAACTGTCTTTGAATAATATAAGAACATTTATTTAATTAATGTTTTTCGTTATTCAAAAATAACATAGAGTTCGTGCGACTGTTTACTTATTTCCTGAATGTTCATTGTTTACTCATTTACTTTTCTCAAGTCTACTACAGCACAGTTACTTGTATTTTGAGAAATAATTAACAATATACTCCTCCACAATTGCACCTTCGAATGTATGTTTTATTATTAAAATATGTCAATTCCGGTTATTTTGTCCAGTTAATTAATATTTATTGGAAAGCGTCCGAATAGACAGTCCCAGTAGAGTATAATGCTACAAGACACCAAACCCTAGTCGTTCGTGCTTAAAACATAAATAGCTGTTTAAAAACGAGAAAATAGAACATAAGTTATTATTAATTTTAAAAAACTTCTTAAAACTCTGTTTGCAGATAGTTCTGTCCAGCAACTGCAACAGACACATCAGCAACTACAGCTGCAAAACAGTGGCAAGCCGCGAGGTGTGGCTTCGCGATTGCAACAACTTCAGCAAGAGGACCAGGACAGTCGAAGAGCTTCTTCGCGAGGAATCATTCCAAAAGCAAAAGTCAAGACTGTAAAGATGACCTTTGTAATTGTAATAGGTATGCACTGACAACAAAGTTGAAATAAAATTGGTTCACGAGATTTGTCATTGTGGTTAGAGAAACACTTAGTTCCCGTATTAGTTTTCTATTTTCATTGGTCTAGGCTAGTATTTGGACTTGCCACATACTCTTGCCAGCTGCCATTTGTCGCCGCCCAAAGTACATTTTTTGATTTTTTTTTAATTTTTCGTTTCTAATAATAGAATGGAAATATTATTTTAATAATATTAAAGAATAGTAAAACCTCATCCTCAGTGGCCATTTTCTTTGAAAATTTGGAGCGGTTTTTAAGAAAATGGGGTTTAAGCGCTACTGTAAATTCGAAATTCGAACCTCTTTTCATAGAAAACTATTGAGTTTTTGAAACTACGAGAAAAACTTCATATGAAGTCATTTCAAGCACTTTCAGTCACAAATGCAAGTTTTTACAAATCACTGGAAATGTATATATTAAAGGCGTGAAAAATATTTAAAAAAGTAAATTTGTGTAATTTATTAAAAACAAAAAATACAGCAAACAAAATTCTATCTTATCTTAAACAATGCAATTAGCATTATCCATGGAAAAAGTTTGAAGAAAAAATTTAGAGCTGTTTTTGAGAAATGGCGTTTGAGTGTTTCGGAAAATGAAGTTTGAGCTCGTTTTCGCAAACAATTTTTGAGTTTTCGAGAAACTTTACTTGCCATTATTTCAATCACATGTACTTATAGATACATTAATGTAAACAAATTGCCGTTAATGTAAATATTAACGACGTGAGAGAAAATAAAAAAAATACATTTTGTAGTTTTTGAAAAAACAAAAGAATATACCAACATGGCGTTTATGTCATCTGTTTGAGTAAATTCATCACTATCCCTACCAAAAGTTTAAAGAAAAAATTGTTTTTGTATTTTTTTTAAATTGCAAATAGTGTATGCAATATTGTTCGAAATCTACTAAAATGTTCAAAATATGTACATGACATTACTGAAAGAACTAATTATGGACAACAAAATTCATTTAAAGAAAAAATTTCTGCCTTCAATTTATTAGTTATAGTAAGGCTCGGAAAAAATTCAAACTTTTGCAATATTCGAAACTTTAGAGTTAACCATGAAAATAGGACCTGTGCCATCATCTTGTATAAGTGTATTTTATTATATCCTTACAAGAAATTTAAAGAAACAATTTGTAGCAGTTTTGGAGAAAATTTAGTAAATGTCTGAAGGGCTTAATATAAAATACCCCCAAATTTTAAAGAAAGTTTTTTCAAAATCGTTTAAATTATATAACTACATGAATATTTGAGAAATTATCTTTCTTTTTCTTTTTAGTATTTGTACTCTGCTGGAGTCCATATTTCGTATTTGACCTACTTCAAGTATATGGGTATGTTCCGAGGACACAGACCAACATTGCTGTAGCTACTTTCATTCAGAGTTTGGCTCCCCTAAATTCTGCAGCAAATCCTGTCATCTATTGTCTTTTCTCTACTACAATTGGTCGAACACTCAGGTATGTTTCAATTATTCATTTTCTGTTCTTCAATCTTTCCCTTGTAATATTATTTCTTAATCAGTTCTTAGTAAGGTAGAGAAAAATAATATTTCAAAAATTTATAATTTTAAAAAAAGGGGAATGTGCAACATCTTTAGATCAGTAACAATAAATAATTATTAATACTTATAAACTGAATAAATAAAAATATTTATGTAACGTTAGAGAAGGTACCATAGCTATTGTTTATTTTAAAGTTCTCTTTTGCTTTATCTGTTTATACAATCATCATTTTGACAATATAATCAGTAGCAAAGGTAAACAATGTGCAATTGCCTATAGTCCTTGCAGATATGATTCACCTTATGGTGGTTGCAACTTCAATAAACTGATTTTTTTCTTAAAGCGAAGAGTCCATGCTTCATTGTAAAGATTAAATATTGTCACCTCCATTTATTTTCATGTCAGTGGCAATGTTTACAAGTGTGAGAGTTGGATAGACAACTATATAACACAAACATGTTAACAATGTTAATGATTACAAGGTGTTGTTTTTCAACAGAATAAATACCCTTCACTTCAACAGTATAAATATAACCTGGTAATAACTAATATTTTTTTCAAACACAAAGATAAACATAAATATGCTTTGAAAGTAACAGGTACAATATCTCTCCTTTAAATAATAGTCAATAGAAACCTATTAAATTATGTCAAGAACACGAAAATATACAGAGGGAGTGAGATAGACACAGACCACTAATTGGTTGAAAGTAAAATTAAATTAAGCATACAATGCACAATAACCAAGAAAAATGAGAATATTTCAACAGCTAAACTCATGATATACCTTCTGGAAGATGAAAGCATCAGAACACTAAATGAAAGAAGATTAAGAGGAAAACTACAATGGGAAAGAAACAAAATATCAAAACATTTTTGACCCAACTTAAACAAGGAATGCTTGAAGCAGGACAGGGAGTGACAAACCATTCAAGAAAAGATTCAAGAAGATGCCGTCTTCACATTACAGATGATAGTAGACAAAAGAAGAGACAAAACCTTACCAACTTTTATAATATTCATAGATTACAAAAGGAATATGACAGAGTATATAGACAGAAACTCTGCAAAATATTGAAAGAGAAGAAAATTCCACATCAATTACTCAATGCGATCCAGAGTTTATATAAAAACTCCAACATTAAAATAATGTTAAGAGACGGGGAAAAGTCTGCAACAATAACACCAACAGCAGCCTAAGACAAGGATGTGGTCTGTTGCCCACTCTCTTCAACACATATATCAATAACTGAAGGAAGAAAATTAAACAGGGTATCCAAAACAGGAAAGATAAAAAAATATATACCATCTTATATGCTGACAATCAAACAATCTTAACAAGTTCTGAAGATGATCGGCAAGGAGCAGTTTTTGAACTGACAAAAGAGACCCAGAAATATTATATGAAAAAACAAAACAAAAAAACAAAAGTTATGGCACTGTGAGGCAAAGAACAGAAGAAAGCCAAAATAGTAGTAAATGGAGAAATAGTGGATCAAGTCATCAAATGTTCATGTCTTGGAAATATCATAAGTGTATTTAACCACATTCAGGAGGATTTAGAAAATAAATTGTATAAATACAGCTTAATCAGTGGAACAATTAAACAACACTTTGGCAGAGACATGTATGGACAAAACTAAAAATTCACAACATGACAGCTAAACCTGTAGCTATGTACAGCTCTGAGAAATGGATAATGAAAGACAGAGACAAACAAAAAATACAAGCAGCACATGTGAAATTTCTGAGTTACCTTGAAGAAGTTACAAGAAGGGACAGACTGAGAAACAAAGATATTAGGAAGAAACTAGAAACTAAAGACTTTGTAGTGGAAATAGAAAACTCTCAAAGAATATGGTTAGATAACCTTAAATGAATGAACAGATGGCCAAAACTAAAATGGAAATACAAACCAGCAAGAAACAGAGATGTTGGAAGACCATGAAAGAAGTGGCAACTAACAGCAACACCTGCATGACTAACTACTAGGAATACTGCATAAATAAAGGAATAGGCTATTAAGCCTAAACACCAGCAGTTTATGATGATGATGATCAATATACTTCCACATGATACAGAGGCAGATCCAAGTGGGGGCTTCTGGGACAATTCCCTACCCTCCAAAGTCAATATTTTTCTTTATTTTTCACAATTTATTCACAATATTTATAATGTATACTCCCCATTGTTTAAAAACCTGTATTACTATTATGAATAAGAAGGGGACTTTTATGCCCTAAAAAATCTTGAAATATGCTTTTAAAAATATGCATTTATGACAAAAAATTTCTTTAATTTACACTTTAATATGCAATTAAAATTCACAATATTTCATTTTCTGTATAAAGTTTTTTTAATGAAATTCAGAAGAAGCATTCTTGGAATGAAAAGATAATTTTTTTGTGCAAACATGATATAGCTTAGTTTACTTTGAGGGAGAAATACTTGCAGTAAATTTGCACATTAGTGAAGTACATTTTATCACTTGTTTCATTTCTTCTGTGTGTTTTAAAAAATATGATATTAAGAAATGTCCTACATTTGCACAAGTATTTTATGATCTCTAGAAAAGAAAAACAACTGAAATTGTGACAAGCTCTTTCTAATCAATGAACGCTCACAAATAAATAGATTCTACAAAAAATTAAATGTTTTACAGATAAGTCTCTATTTTAACAAAATATGCAAAATATGCTCCTATAATTACAGGAATATGCACCAACAGGCCAAATTGGCCAAATATACATAAATAAACATAAATAAGCCCTAACATATTAATCAACATATCATCCAATTCCTACCAAATGTCAAGAACTTTCACTTAGCTATGTCTTGAAGTAACAGAATAAAATATGCAAAGTTCAAACCAAAATTCCCCACCACCAAAATACTTTCTGGATTAGCCTTTGCTAGAGTAAATAGGATTTCTTGGAAAACTCATAGCTCAGAGTTTCATAGTTTTGTCAATGAGATTCATTTGCAGCACAAATCACTTCAGACACTTATGGAGATTTTGGGTTGCAACTGTAAGCAAATGTAAACTGTAGTATTTCAGTAATATTTCAGAGTGAAGCTGTGAACTATAGAAAGTGCAATGCAAATTGTAGTAAAGCCTATACTATTTATTTTTTTCAAAGATGTGAAAATGTATCAACCCTTTGCTATGTTATATTGTATATAATTTTATTGGAGCCAAAACTTCAAATATTGCAAAAATGTATATTTTGTTTGTTTTTATTAGAAATATAATTTTATTGTATACAATCTTATTATTATACCTGTCAAATTTAGATGTTATTTCTTCATACTTTAAATTAGGGAAGTTTTTCAACTAATGTCCAAGACTGCCCAATCACAATGTTTAAAGAGCATATATTGACATCTAAATAACATTCTTGCAATTTTTGTTATCATGATTAGGAAAATCCCACCAATCAGTTGGGCAGTAGCTGCTCTCCAGCCTTGCTGTCCCGGTTTGCGCCCTGTCCCTCCTGACGAGGAGGAACCAGCTCTTTTAGACGCACGCATGAGATGGGCATCTCAACATCACAAAGCGCATCCACATTTGGATGCAGCAGTGAGAAGAGGTACTGCTGTTGCAGCAGTGGTTTCTATTGTGTAAAGAGACAGTGATTTAATACTGCTCATTTTCCTATAAGAGATTCTCAGAAATGTGGACATGAGTGTATGTCAAAGAATGACTGACTGGAGGTACCTGCAAGTTATTATACTAGTGCACACACTTTCTCAAATTTGTATTAGTTCAAGAGTGCAAATTTTTCTAAAACGCTCAATGCAAGGAAGATGATTTACATGCAAAGTTTATTTCTCAGCTTAAAAGGTCAGTTTTCATAGTTTCTCAACAGATCTGTTCTATTCCAGATGAAGCCTCATCTGTAAAAATTTGTTATATCCAGGTAGTGTAACATACAAAGAAATAATACAGGACCTTCAAAAATTCTGAATTATCCAACATATGGCAATGTTACCTTTTCTCTATTCAAAAAAGGTCGAATAAATATGTGGTAAAATACATGCAGGGAAAGCCAGGAGACATAAGACTTGATTATACTAAGATTCAGTAAAGTCATTGGATAGAATAGTATTCAAATTACATTTATTTATTTTCTGTGTTTGCATCTGAGCATAGAAATGTGTATATATTGTGGAAGTGTATATGTGTGTTTGTGAAGCATTCTTAAACTCAGAAAATTGTTAATACAACAGAGAGAACAAATGCAAGAATGAGAAAAATCACACATGAAAATGAGAACACAAAATGCTCATTTTCACATCTAGTTTTCTTTCTTTGGAATAATTCTTTTTCGTCTTTCCCATTGAATTTGAGGAATTTCAACCTACTAGGAGGACAAGAATACCATTCCTAAACCAAGGGTGATGATGATTAAGATATTTCCAAGATAAATGAAATTTATTAATAGTAAATTGTCTGTCAGAGAAGAACACTTCTGAAAATTATCATTTCTCTTAACGAATGTCTAGTATATTTTAATGCAATAATTGTTTATATAAATATTGTTAACTTCATTTAACAAAGTTATCACACAATCAGAAATATCATTTAAAGAATTGTTTTCTCTTAATGTGCCAGATGAAGTAGTAAATACAAGATCTCAAATCATGCAAATTAATATTCATGCAGACAAATGAGTTGAACTTTTTTTAAAGTTAAGTGCTCCATTTATGAACAACTACAAAATGAATCTAATGAATCTTCAAGACACTTCATTCTGCAGATTGGTAAAAATTTTGGACCAAAGATATGCAATTAAATATGAAAATATTTGGGGAATAAAATGATTTAAACGTTTTCACATTTCAATTCTTTTGAAAAAGATTAGAACAATTTTTATTTTAATGAGTTAAATAATTAAAATATTTTTGTCTTTTACTACAAACCTCAATAACGAAATTTTAATATATTGTATTATCCCTTCTGCATTATACACGATACCTAATTAAATAAAATTTAGGAATTGTACAAATACAACAGTTAAAGGAGCTTACCACGTATTTGTGTAATTGTCTTGCATCAGTCCCATCAAAGGTCCACTTTTGATCATTCTTGACAGTAAGTTTTCCTTAATAAGTTTGTTTTTAATGCAATAAAGCCATATCTCCTGAAATGATTATTTTTTATCAATATCTCACAGATCCAATGATATAGAAAAATAATTCTGATCTATCAATACTGTTTGCAAATCAGCATGTAAATGAATTCATATGTACCAAATATGTTATCTCATTTCACACTAAATAAATGTATTGAATGTACCCTGGTTAATGTGGATCCACAGCAAACATTTAAATTGGAGCAAACAAAAAGGTTTGAAGTCAAATATTTTAGGGTTTTGAGTTAATGGTAGGAAACTGTTCTTAATACGTAACTTAGAAAACTTACTATGCATAAAACTTTGTTATCCAAGGCATCTTTGATGTCTGTAGGAGACAACTTTTAGTGGCAAGCAAAAATGTTTGATGTCTGAGATTTAGAACTTATTTGTTTGCTGTCCAAAAGTTGAAGATCATAGACATCGAACTTCTTTGTTTTCTCCGATTCTTTTATTTATAAAATTCTTCTGAATATTGTTTGTTTAAATTATTATTATAAGATTGAAAATAACAAATCACTCGTATTAATGTTTACACAGAGTTTTCTAACTACTTTTATAAAATCAGTATAACTTGTAGTATATTATTTGTGAAATACACAAAATGCAACAGCTACAAAGTAAAATACATAGGTGACTGTTTTCCAATGGAAGATTAAAATTAGAAATATTAATGTTTCACAAATCTCTGGGGTCACAAAGAAAACTTTAAAGTTCATCAAAAGAATACAGGCACATGCCAAACATTGCTGTTGGTTTTTGAGGAGAAGTTCAATTTATTTCTTCATTGTCTGCATGGTGAAAGTAGCATTCTTAAAAATGGTTCACTGTACTGTTTCCATGAAACAATTGTATTTATTTAAAATTTCATATGTGTATTAAGCTGTGTTCATGTTCATAAATTAAAACTGACAATTGGATGTATTGATATGTTGTGCATGTATCAGTAGTTAAATCTATATGTGTAGTTAGAAATACAGACCATAATTTCCTTGAATGACAGCACAATCAACCCAAAATTTGAATCATGATATAATTTGCTGAAAAGTGTGGTTTTGTACTACAATGAAATGGAATGAGCCATATCCAAATCACAACTTTTACATAAAACAAATCAGCTTTGTGAATATCTAAAAATTAAATAAATACCATTTGACACAAATCTCACAAAGAAACATATGCTCATTGTAAGTATTACATTTTAAAATAGATATCTATATGAAATATCTGATAATATGATATGCCACAAATTGTTTCATGAGGTGATATCAGATTGAACTTTAGTAAAATTGTATTTACTCACCCATGTAAAATTGAATAGGTTTTTAAATGAAATCAACTTATTACTGGTCATCAGTTCATTGGTACAATGTTTATTTTAGTTGTGTCTGACTCTTGACAATTTAGAAAAGAGATTGAAACTTTTGTAAAAATTAAGGCGAAAAATAAATATTTAAGTGTATCTGAGTGCAATTATATCTCCACGTATTAATTCACCACATCCTTTTTTAAGTAGTCTTTTCACAAACTACTTGCCGATGCAGCTAATTCCCCATGACATTGAAATACCCTTCCTCGCATTTGCTTTTTCTTTCCTACCCCAGGAAATATATCCAGGCTCATTTTGCACACAAACCGTAATACCATTAATCCTAGAAGAAAACCTTGAACACGTAAAATGTAGGCAATTTTATCATCTTTCATTTCATATCAGATTAATATTGTCGATAAGTGTAAAGTTTTAAAGATATAAAGTGGGATAATTCCTGTTTTTTCGTGTTTCGGTTATATCACCAAATGTGATACTCTCTCGTCTACGCCCTTAATTGGAAAATAAAAACTTAATGACGTTATATGGAGATAATTTTATATTATTTTATTTCAAAAGGAACATTATTTATGAAAAGTAAATGGCTTTTGAATTATTATGAAAAAAAATAAAAAGGGATATGCACAATCTTTTGTTCAGAAACGTGTATCTGGGCAAAAATCAAAACTACACCAAAACATTCCGCTAGTGGCCCTTTTTTAGCACCATTTGACTGGACTGGTGGTAATGGAACTTTAATTTGAATAGTCCCAGCAAACTCACTTGTTTAAACTTTATTTATTACAAAAAATTGACTTACAATTTAAAATAACTTCAGAGACGCACGTAACAAACAAAATCCAAACACGCACTGAGTGGACTTCTCAAACCGTTTTTCCAATTGGTTCACAGACCCTCTGTCAGATGGCGTTCCTTGTCTGCATTTTCTGTTCATATTAATACTTCCTACAAACAAATTAATAGACAAAAATAAACAAATAAGACTATATGTATCACTTTCTGGACGTAATCTTCTACACACTAATCTTTTCACGTAGCATCTCGAATGTAACCCTCTCCAGAGCTTTAGCTCCAGTCAGTAGATCAGATAGCTGGTTGGTTCCATTGATGTACTCCAGTTCCAGATCGCCATCCAAAAATCTTTCCTTACATAAAGTGGTAAAACTCGATGTGCTTTGATCTGTGATTATATTCGGGATTTTAGCCACTTTAACGGTACCAGCCTAATCGATGTTGAGCCTAGAAGATTTTTCAACATTTTCCAGAAATTCAGACAGTCATCCTTTCAGCCAAATTAACTTCTTTGCTCCTTCACTAGCTGCGACTATCTCGACGTTCCAACTGACTGGTTCACGATTCAGCTCCGTTATTGAAGGTTTCAATGCGCAGTCAGCATCACTGAAGACCTTGAGGACCTGTTGCTATAGTCAGTTACATCAAATAACTTACTGTCGTCCGGGTTGTAACCTTTTCTTCTCAACATTGTGATCGCGCCCATCTGGCGTAGAAAACCCGTTTGACTCGGCCACACCAAATCTTTCAAAAATATTTGTATTATGTAGTCCTCTTGGTCGGTTAATACAATTTCATTCTGCTGTATTCTCGAATCCAAGAAGTTTCTGAGAGATCTTCTGTTTGGATGAAATTCCTGTTGTAGCGTTTCTATGAATTCCTCGAGTTTTTCTTTATTATATCGTTGATCGCAGCCACCACGAAAATTACAACATACCGAAAATTCCTGTTTCTTTTTGTGGTAAAACAGACATGAATCAACAATACTGGTTTTAAATCCAGCTTTCTTCACAATCTTCCTGAACCATGTGTTCCAGCAGTGCTGCGCCTGTTTCAGGCCATACAAACATTTCTTCTCGTGATACACTCGGCCAGTATTGCGCTTCCGGCTGTTCCGTATACACGTATCTTCAAGCACGTTATTCATGAAAGCATTTTTTACGTCAAACTGAGCGGCCTTCATTCGGAAAGAAGCAGCCACCTCTAACAAGATCCGAATGGCTTCATATTGTGCTACAGGGCTGAATGTCTCTGGGTAAATTGAAGGAATGTTGATGAGGTGTTGTTGACGTAATTAAATGGTAAAATAACTGAAGTCATCTTCGTCAACTTACAATTAGATACAATATATTCCGATAGTCGGCTTTCGACGGTTTGACGTCATCATCAGTCTATAAATAATATAAATAAAATATAAAGCTATATAAAAGAAATAATGCAATTGATAAACGTATTAAAATTAACCAAAATAACATGAAAAGGCCGGAATTAATACAAATAATGAAATTTCAAACTAGAGAAATAATGATAATAATGCTGCTGATGATAACAAGAACAATAATAATAATAATAATAATAATAATAATAATAATAATAATAATAATAATAATAATTTTAATAAATATTAAAAACTAGTATAAAATGAAATTTCAAAGTGAACCAGAATAAGTTGATACGCTTGCTTATCTCGCTATAGTATCTGGCGAAAGACGGTCACACGGGCGAGGGGGGAGAGATTGGAGGGAATAAAATACGAGTATCTGTATTTAGTGAATAGGGCGAGGAAGTCCTTGAGTTCAGTTCTCAACTTAACAAGAAGTTTACTGGTTGGATCCTTAGGATATTTTACAAAGATTTCGCCGTTCAAAAATTGGTTTATTTTGTCATTGTAATCATATGTGTCCAGTATGACAACAGTGTTCCCTTTGTCAGCTTTAGTAATTGTGAGATTGTTTTCTGTGGATTTCTTGAGAAGCTGTGTGGTAGAAATAATTTCACGGTGCGTGTTTTTGTTATGAAAAGTTACAATTTTGGCGTGGGAGAGAGCGTCTGCAATATTGTGTTTAGCTTCAAGCATGTTGTTTGACGTGGAAATGTTTGTGACTGCCTGAATGCATAATTGTTCAAGTTTAGTGCTACAGAACTGAATGAGAGGGCAATGTTTGAGGCCTTTGTCTAGAAGTGAACGTTCGTTATTGGATAGTGTTGTTGAAAATAGGTTAATTACTTTAGGGTGGAAGACTGGATTTCAGTAAGACAATGGAGGGGGCGGGTGGTCAGATGCTAGAAGTAAGTCAGCTGAACTAACGTGATTGTAATATATTCTTTTCTCCTGGAGCGAAGACACTTTCTCTAATAGAGCTGTAGAGTGTAGACGACTCAGGGGGATGTTTTCATGAAGACAGGTTCTTACATGTACTCACAGACCATGACTGATGTGTCCAGTCGTCCTTTTTGTACTGACACGATCTTTAATGCTGACACTTCGATCAAGTCTCGTAGAAAAGCCTTTTCTTGCAGCTGCTTTCACCGTAATAAAGTTGATCTGTTGCTTCAGGAAGACACAAAACGTTTTTCAGGACATCATTCGATCAAGCATTATTCAAATGCACTTGAATGTTTTTTTACTTGGCTGTCCGGGTGACGCCGCGTCCATGGCGAAGGTGCCGACGTTTCGGTCGCCATTCTGTGACCTTCCTCAGGGCGTAACGCGTAATGCCATGGTCGCGGCGTCACCCGGACTGCCACGTAAATACTGACTCCGGCCGCGAAGCCTAACTTGAATGTTCACATTTCCCTGTCCACCAGCCAGCATACCTCGCTTCCCGAGCGAGGTCTTTACAGGAACAATAAATTTCTCGTACGATGCAAAATACTGTTTATTCGCGGTGACGTGATTTCAGGCGCAACTGTTGCAGTAGCACTTCCCTTCAACTAAGTTATTGACTAAGGCACCCATAACGTGTGTCAAAAACACCACATTTGCATCAGACCGATTTTTGTTAACAGTGCAGCCATCTGTTTTCAGAACCAGACACTCTGCTACCCAATACCAACTGGTTTCACTTGAGTCATGAAAACTTTTTTTTGCGCGTTGGACATTCTTTGAATTTTCCCCACTGTCGCTTTTATAATTAGGCTTCTTGTTAGGATCACCGCGTGCAACAATCACGGTCGATTCGACTTTCCCTTGATCTCGCAATTCAATCACCCATAATGTTTCTATTAACAAATTCACAGTTTGTTTTTTCCGCCCAAATCGTGTCCCACATGTCTATAAAACTGTCATCCTCTTTTCCCAACGTAGATAAAATTAGGGCATTCAAAATTCTCTCAGTTAAATATTTTCTTATTTTTATGTTCATTTAAATCCACGAATAAGTTCAACTTTGCGACATGCGCACAGATATCTTCTTTGCCGTCACTCGAATCATCTCACCATATTATTTATCTCTCAAATAATGTGTCAATTCAGCCTATCAGCCCAGGTAATATATTACGTGTCATTTTAAGATATTTTCCAATGTACAATGGAATTTAAAGAAGAATTCCATGTATGATTGTTATCGCAGGCAAGATTGCTAAACTCGAGTGTTCGTCATGGCCGGAGTACATCAATCCCATTACTTTCGAGTAAGAGATACCAAATCTATCAAAAACCCATTATCTTGTTTTTGAGACGCGCTTCCTCACGACCTTTCTGGTCCAATTGTCATATTTACGACTACTTCATTCGCTTTTAGTATAATATGTTATGTTATCTTTATGACTTATCAGAAACCATAATGCTCACGGGACCGATACTAAAAGAATACTTATATTTAGATAATATAATATTGTAATATTTCACATAATGTATTCAAAAAATGTATGATTCAATAATTACATGCCCCTTGAAAATATACAATACTTTTGAGCTTTTCAGATGGTATTATCATGGTAAATTTCCTTGCAAAAATAGAGGAATAAGTCTTATAAAATACAAAAAACAGGTGTTTTTTCGCTTCATCAAGATGTTATCTCATTCTTCATATCCGTGCAAATGAACCTTTAACGATATTTTAATATCGTTATGCTATTTTTGATGGGAGTAGATAACATATAAGCCGGAAAATTTACATAGTATAAAGAATGCATTCTTTAAAATTTCCTTGTCTTTCCGTGTTCACCACATCCCAAGATCGGAATTCTTTTATTGGAGGCCGTCGGTAAGTCATCACGTATCCTAGTGGAAAAGTTGAAAAGTAGTACGGCAATCATAATCATACATTTCAATTAAAACCATGAATGTATCGATATTGTGAAGAATCTTTACAGGAAATGGCAATTCAATTGAATGACTCACATGGATCCTTATGCATACGAGTATCCACCATCTGTTACCCGCCCAAGCATACATACATACATACATTTATTAGAACTGCGATTGGGTACGACCCGGTGGCAGTTAATGGCAATAATTGCAAAAATTACAACACTTACATTAATAATAATAATAATAATAATAATAATAAATAATAATTACCGTACAATACAATCAAAGACGAAAGCGCATTGAAAAGAGCATTGATCCACGTTCACCGCACTTCACTTCACTTCACTACATTTTTTTTTTTTTTTTTTGCTTTGGATTACCTTTAATTACACACTGACCAGCACTTCACAGCACTTCACCGCAGCTACACAGCACATTACTTATTTAATATATTGTTCTAATTTGTTTCTAAAACTTGGACAACTGAGAGGAAAAAGCTTTGAAAAACTGTGCAGGTAAACTGTTTCAATCTGCTATTGTCTGTTACAAAGGAAAACTCCAAGATCTGGATTTTGTTTCCTTGCTCGAATTTTGTTGGGTGTGATCGCTATCGGCCGAAAATAATTTGCGTTTTCTAATCTAATCTGAATTTCCTTCCCAAGCTGGTTGACCTACGTACGATTTATAAAAGCGCAAAGCCTCGCCTTTGTTCTCTCGTTCTCTAGAGTCCCATACTTTTTTGTGGCCGTACTTCTATAGGTAAATTTATTCGCTTTTCTCTGTGATTCTTATCTAGATTTTTCCGGTGCGCCTTGTCTGTATGTGATTCCCAGACACACAACTCCGTTATTCATGAGAGGGCCGAACCAGCGTAAGATTGCTAAACTCTTTTGTTGCGTTTGCAGAACTTTTTCTTTAGTATTCGCCATTACAAATGCAAAGATTTCCACGTTTTCTTACTGTCTGATTTATATGCATCTTCCCACCCAAATTTACTATCTAGATGAATGCCTTAAATACTTGCATGATGAGACTCTTGCGATAGATAACCTCACCTAAACGGATATCTGGTTCCGTATAATTCGTCCCCGCCCGAACGTTATTGTTTTGCTTTAGATCCATTAATTCCCATGTTCATTTTTATATTATACAAAGCAAAAGCATATTATACAAAGCAAAAGAGAACAAGTTCTAGAAGTTTATTTTATTAATCCCTTGAGATAAGATTCATCGTCGATAATGCAAAACATCTAACTTGAGGTTTCAGGTTACACACAACTAATATTGAGGAATTGAATAAAGTTATTACAGCTTAAATATATCACACTACTCAAAAGGACAACCCACTGGTTATCAGATAGCATCAAAATCCTACATCTTATTGACTTCTTATTTGAAGGGATTTCCTCCAACTTTACACATATTGAGGTCTCTTTAAATCTCAGCTTGAACTACATTCCTTTAGTCAAAGAAGTGAGCTCACATACGATTACTACAAGACAGCAAGTTAGCCAAAATGAAAACTGTCTGGACCGAACTTCAGCAATAGGTTGGCGAGAATTTAGAGGTTCAAATTTCGCTGAAGTGTAAAAACGAAATAGACAATGCATTTTAATACCGTAAACCCTCGGTAATACGAAATCCAAGGGACAGAAAAAGTCGGTGTTATGGTTTTGCTGGAATTCGTCCATTGCTGATTTTACCATTAAATATCTTACTCTGCTTCCAGCTGGTCCAGCATACGTCTTTTTCACTTCTTTTCAAGAGCTTAGTCCTTATCATATTGGGTATAATGCGATAATAAAGCACTATTGACAGGTGGAATTCCGTGTCAACTCTTGATAAGTGGCTAGACTTGCGACAGTCAAACGCCCGAGTTTCGTATCTGAATTCAACACCGAGCGTGACTCCAGTGCAGTGCTAGTAAAATTAATGTGTTGGCTCGAATGTGAAGTGCAGCGTATAGCACCTGTTATTGCTACGAGCAGAATATTTGTTGGGACCAACTCCATCTTAGAATTCAAGTAGTATCTTTTAGAAAATTGGGAATATAGGGTAATTCAAAACGCAGTTAAACGAGTTGAATCTTAATATCAAGACATTTCAGTGCATGTTTTCAACGCTCAATATATTTCAGTGCATGTGCAGGATACTATGTAATTAACTCGTCAACAGCTACAACAAATCTTTTCAATTCATGTATCAACAAAGAAGCGTCTTGCCGAAATTTCCATTGAAACGGCGTATACATAAAAAATAAACGAATAACTGCGAGATATTAAAAGTACTTGAGTACAATTAAAAAATTAATAGAGCGTCAGTGAATACACATGTACTTTAAAATAAATGTTTAATGCTTCTAGATGAACTCGCATATACTATATCAAAATGAACTAAATGAAAACATCCAACCAACAATGCTACAGCAAATGAAACTTTCCCGAAACAATTCGAATACCAGGTACCTACACTTTTGATATAATTAACTGTAATACATAAACTGCATAAAATATTGCAGATAATAACATTATTATGCCGATAACATAAATAAAAGTCTCGGTTGGTTAAAAACCTCGAATATCGCCTCGTTTTGCAAACTTCAATCGAATCTGTTATCGCCCAGCTGTCATTCAATATTTTTAATGATAATAAATAATTCGGTGTTTCCATAATAAAATCTGTTTACTTCAAGAAATGTCATTTCTTCTGAAATTTCTTATAATAAATGTACTTTTATGCCGTTTTTGCATTATAAAATTTCATGTAGGTAAAAATACTATGTTTTTGGAATAAATGTTATTTTATGCCATATTCAGCTATGTTAATTTGTTTCGATTGTTCTTAACGGACGGCGGTTGTTAAAAAGAGCTCTTTTCGCGAGCGTCGATATAACAGTATTGTATATCGAAAATTTACTTCCCATACTTAGGTGTATTTTTCTATTCGTACACATTAATATTGCAAAAATGAGATTTTGTAGTAATCGGTTTTACACAAAACAAAGGACGTAGCCAGGGGAACCGCTCCCCCCTAAATTGTCGAGTTTTTTGCTTTTTTCATATAAAATGAATAATAATGTAATTTTTTCACATATGTTTGAAATTAACTCTGCTAAAATTAATTCCAATTTAGAATATGTCTTGCTCGATTGAACACCCCTTGCATATAGTGTACAACGGTCATCACTTTGTGTAGAAAATACCTGATGAAGGTCAACAATGACAGGAGAACAATTCAATGGACTATCTGTATTGAGTATTACACAGGACACTACCTGTAACTTGATATTGGGTAACTTGATACTTATTAAGGGGAAGTTTATCATGTTCCCCATTTCGATCAGGTTTTTGTTCAGTTTCCCTGATTCATTCAGCAAATGCTGAGATTGCCCTTTGTTTTGCTTCTGAACGTAAATGTAGCTTCACTATTCGCACGTTTTGTTGAATTCTCATTTTGCTTGTAATGGTTAGAGTACAGGTAAGGGCGATTTGCTATTTTGTTAGCAATGAATACAAATTATACTCGCAATTCGTGTACCGATGCAAGAAAGTTTTCTATAGTTCAGAAACGAAAATGACTATTTTTCAAATGTTGCTAATCTCGCGCTCTTTTAAACTTTATTTTTATTTATTTGTCTTTAACTTTTACTCATCCATCAACTATTTATAGTTAAAATGGTGGGAAGGGATTCTGGAACTCAAGAAAACATTACGGGTCTAACAGCCATAGCAGTTGACGGGCTCGGAAACACTTAATATTCAATCAATCAATACTCTTTTGTGATGGAATTATGAAACACACTTTTAATAGAAAATGCCATTCTGTTGTAATGTCTTTTATAATGTGT